TACTACAAACCAATATATCAAGCAGTCGTTTCCTAACATTTTAATTGGAAACAACAAAATAAATAAAGTGAAGGCATCTGTCTTTAAGGTGGTGAGTTGATATGTGTTAATTATTTGGATCGTGCATTTGAGGTTATAGTCCTAAAGGACGACGTGCGAACGAACATCATCATAAAGTGTATTTACTGAACTTATGTTAAGCGAAGAAAGACAAAATATAATAAGAGAAAATGCCCTATTGAGACGACGCCTGAGGACACGAAGATCATTGGCATCAATCAATCGATTGGCATTCCAATATGATCCCACTGAGAACTAGAGTGATGATACAAATTTTGATATTGGACCAATGACAGTTATATGCCGATATTGCAATGCGTCAAAGTTCAAAGGAGAAACGGCTGGATTATGCTGCGCAAGTGGAAAAGTTAAGCTGGATTCATTACTTTTCAAATATAAATAAAAAAAAAGTTTTTCATCTTTAATAACCAAACGAAATGTTACATAGAACGAAGCTATCTGGTGGCAAAACGGAGTTCGCCGGATTTCCTAGTATAACATTAAAACTTCAGTACTTGTAGAATTATCCTAAATTTCCTCGTTCTTTTACCTTTTTTCCTTCTCTCTACGTCACACGTCCCCTCGGTCGGTTGGGCGGGAGGTGGGTGTGGGAAATAAAAAACAAGTTTTAATTGATATCTTCTTCCTGTTTCTAAAACAATTAGTACATCATAAATACTAGGTGAGGTGAAAAGTAACCTCCTTGACCGCCAGAATGCGCTACTACTGCAAAGAAGGTTATGGTTCCTTACGGTGCGTTTAGGCAAGCATACCAAATTTCAGTACATAACGATTTCGTTCTCTCATATAACATTATTTTTTAAGAGGCAAAACGGCGAAGGAAACAAAAGAAAAATTGGACAAATATTATGGGACAAATGCAGATTACAAACGTCAGATAACACCGTGATATATTGGTTTCGAGAGTTTCGTGGTGGCCGCAACTCCACTACCGATGAAGCCCGCAGCGGCAGGCCTTCCGATGCGGTTACAGAGGACAATGTCAAAAAAAAACACATGAAATGGTACCTCGAAAAAGGAAAAACCATCAACAACGAGTATTACTGTACATTATTGGAGCGATTGAAGGCCGAAATCGCTGCAAAACGACCTCACATGAAGCGAACAAAAAATTTGTTTTTGCAAGACAATGCACCGGCGCACAAGAGCGTTGCAACCACGGCTAAAATAAGTAACTAAGGGCACCAATTGCTTCGGCATCCTCCTTATTCACCCGATTTGACTCCCTCTGACTCTTATCTCTTCCCGAACCTGAAAAAAGGCTCATTAATAAAAATTCAGCTCACGCGAGGAAGACATCAACGCCGCGGAGGAGTATTTTGCAGTCCTTACGAAAAATTGCTTTTCAGATGGGATCAAGAAGTTGGAAAATCGCTGGAATAAGGGTAAAGAGCTAAAAGGGGACTACATTGAATAAAATAAAAAAACATTTGAAAAAAAAAAATGTTTATTTTTATTCCCAGGGAGGTTACTTTTCACTCCATCTAGTATACAAAATTACAAACAAATGAGCAAGATTGCCCAGGGCCTTCAATATAGCTCTGTGAAACAATAAAATTACGTTTTGTAATGCCCATCAGGTGTAACAAAAGATGTATATTCAACTGATTGAGAGTGCATTGGAATTATATCTTCTAGTCATGTCAACGGAAGTCAATTAAAAATCCATTTCAAATATTTTTTATCTAAAAGCGTAGTTGATAATCTGAACTCGTTGAAGTTCGCTTAAGTTGTAAAATACTGTCGATGCACGTAGCTGCGCTTCGCAAACGAACACGTGTTCACAACTTCAGTTCTATTTTTAGAAAGTTTCGCTATATTTTGGTTTGCCAAGAAAAAGATGGATCATTTTAGAGGCGATTTGTTTACTTTTTCTACATTTTATGATTTTTTTTTGCCTATGCACGCAACCATTGTGCAGCGACTCAACGCTGTAACGCGCTACAACTCTGCTTGGAAATTGTTAGAATGACTTCAAATTTCATTGGAGTCCACTCCAAAAGCAATAGCATACTGCCCTGCAGTACCATTCCTCTCGGATTCAGGTCGGATTGTTGAGGACTAATTCCTGAATCATACCGAAATTTTCATACAACCCATCCATATCTGTTAATTGTTAATACGTGTCAATACAGCATACTATAAAATAAATAAACATCCATTATATAAAATATAAATAACATAAAAATATTTATAAATATTCCAACTAATTCTAAAAAGAGTATTCCGATGTCGAAACGATATACTTTTAGTTTTTGAAACACATTTTTTCCCTTCCATCATTTCCATTTTTGTCTTATTTGCCAAAAGTCAGTCATTTAAAGTCAGAAATTCAGCAGTAACCGAACACATGTAGAATTTTCATTGCCTACTTTGTTTCGGATTTCTCTAAGCGAAACCCATGAGATTTGTTTTTGTTTTTCGAACATGATATATATATAAGTTAAAGATTATTAGTTATTTTTTTTATTAAAAAATAATCTTTATTATTTTGAGTTGGATTAAGAACTAAATTTTCACCGTCTCTGCCGCCGTTATTACTTCCGCTGATGTTCTTTGTTTTTCCGCTGACGTTCTTTGTTCTCATTAGCCGGTTATGACGATTTGTAACTATTGGCCGCTTCCAATTACCATTGGTCAATGCATTGATTTCCACATTGGCAGATGCCCTAGATATGGTAAGCCACGTGCGCTGAGCTTGCATCTTTTGGGTAGCGATTGTGGGAATACAAATCCGGAAGTTTGAGTTGGTAGTAAATTGAACTTCTGGTTTCTTCACCCGGTTGCGCCATATGTACTGAGCTTGCATCTTCTTTGTCAACGATTTTAGAAACTAGGTTGTTAACTTATATATTACATATATCAAATTATCTAGGGGAATATTAAGAACTGGAAAAGTTATTATTATTATTATTTATCAGCTAGATAATATAATCGTCCGTTTGGGGCCGTTCCGACTTACGGAGGTGGTTAAAAGTATTTACACAAATTCACAATTATTTACACATCCCAACTTCCTTTAGTTGTTATTCCTGTTATTGTGGACCAATTTCCCCGACATTTTTTTATCGCGTAGATTGATCTATACAGAAGCAAGCCGAAGAGAAATGCGAATGATAACAGTACATTGGACATTCTCTCGCAGGAAGAAGTGTGAAGGTTTGGAGCAGGTGAAGCAACATTCAACTAAATTGTAATATTCTGAATCAAAAATACTAAGTAGGGCTTACACTAAAATGTGTAAAATATTCTAAAAATAACTATATTCTGATTTATGTTTAAGTATAAAATCGTAAGTAAGTATATTCGCATAGATGGGAAGTCCTAAACAAGTGACGAGGATTGTTTGTCTTTCAAAACTTCCGAAAGACATAAAAGTAATAGCATTAACTTCAAATATCCTTATGAATTAAATTTAAAAGAGGCTAAGGACTACTTTTAAGATAATATGAGAACACAACTAAATTGTTAGACAATAAATATCTTTTATATTAATTTGTTGTAGTTTTAAGTCAAATAAAAAAAAGTGAATTTATAAATTCATAGTGACTAGCGTGCTTATTAATAGGTATTAACTTGCAGCGTTAGGAAGGAAATGCACTATGGGCCAGGAAGTTCATATTTTTGCCACAATTCTGTAACTTCTAAAATAAATTTTTTAGAGACGTGAAATTTGGCATGCACATTCTGAAAACATTGAATTTTATGTGTTCAAAAATAAGTAACAGAAAATATTTTTCTTTTATAAAGATAATAATAATATAAAGATAATAATAATATAAAGATAATAATATAATTATAATAATAAAATAAGAAAAATCATGTTTGTAAATGTATGCCACAAATTTTTAAAATTGTATTTTTGCTTGTCAATGCTTGTAATATCTTATTTCTTGACTGCCTTTAGGCAGTATTATAAAGACTTTTTATATATATATATATAATATATAATATATAATATATAATATATAATATATAATATATAATATATAATATATAATATATAATATATAATATATAATATATAATATATAATATATAATATATAATATATAATATATAATATATAATATATAATATATAATATATAATATATAATATATAATATATAATATATAATATATAATATATAATATATAATATATAATATATAATATATAATATATAATATATAATATATAATATATAATATATAATATATAATATATAATATATAATATATAATATATAATATATAATATATAATTTGGGACAACATATACGTACGTCGAGGTACCCTAAGTTTGAAATCACAACTTGTAAAAAATGGGGAAAAAACTGTGTTCTTTTTAAAATTGTTTGTAAAGTAATATATAAAAAGCAAATAAATTATCATATAGCTGCCATAGAAACGATCGAAACATTAAAAATAAAAATTATAACTTTATCCGTTTTCAAAATATTTTCATCAAATTCGAGTTGGCATTTAATATTATTATAGAACTTTATTTTAAATTTATGAAAATTTAACGACTTTATCATATATGTGCCAGAGAAACTATCGTTAAATGTAGAGGAAAATGCCAAACCGTGAATGTAAAACTGAAACTGTAAAACTGTAAAAATATCATTGTTGGCATTACTCGATGTTTTTTAATTTACACATATATAAATTATGTTGTATTATAATATTGATAAAATTTCAATCTTTAAGGGTATAAAAACTTCGGCGTGCCGAACATAGCTTCCTTTCTTGTTAGATATGACAAGTCCCTGAAAAGGGAGCACGAAGCGAAGCGAACCGAGAAAACGGAAAGATATAAGTATGAAAGCGATTTGACTTATAAATTTGCGAATATTTAAAACATGTGGTTAATACAACCCATAGAATAACGTATTATTAATCACTTTCAGTAAAACATGTTGTTTTTTTCTTGCAGGAAGACGAAGAGGAAATTGTAGACGATGAAGTCATAGAAAAAATATTAAACGCTATGGATGCGTGCTTACTTATATGTAATATATATTCAACAGTGACGGATCTTAAGTTCTTACAGGAGGATAATATTTCACATATTATAAAATTTGCACAATTTCAATTACGAGAGACAATATTTCCTCTCCACGATCCTGTTTATACAGTAAAAAGTTTAAAAAAAAGCCATCCACGTAAAAAATTAAAGTCGAACCAAGCTCAGAGTAGGAGTCTGCAACTCTTTTACTCAAAGACCGTCGAGCTTTTAAAAGTTTTTGTAACACTATTTGATAAGTGTATTTTTGTTGATACAATAGTCTTGCCATTATCCTCACTAGCTATTGAACCTTTTTTTGTCGACAATATAGAAACAGTGCAATTCGTTTGTTTGGAACTTGTAACCACAGTAAGTAGTTGCTCTATAATTCTATAATTTTGTATATAAATAAAATATATAAAAATATATTATATATACATAAAAAAAATATACATCATTATAATAATTACTAATATATGAAAAAACAGGACAGGAATTTAACTTCGGCACGCCGAAGTTTGTATACCCTTGCAGATAGAATTCGATTATTAAAAATTAATACAATATAAATTATATATATTTCTCTTTAAAAAAATTTAAAAATTCCTTATTTTATTACTGTCACTTATATTTATGAAATGGGTAATTCTTCTAATTCTCTGATGCGACAATCGTTCGCATTAAAACTAAAAAAACATGTGCCAAGACTTTATTTTAATTTTACAAAATTTGAAACTTATAGGTCTTGGTTTGATTTTGATTTTGGGCACTTGTTCGTGCATTCGCACGAGTAAAAAAAGTCACATTTGCAAAAAAAAAAAAACAAAAAAAAGAAAGCGTATACAAATTAAAACTGTACGAATATTGTCGCATATGTCCTTTTGCATTTTATAATGACTCTGCGTTTTCTGTGTGATCTTAGAATTCAAGTCTTTATTTTTTTTTGTAAAAAAAAAAAACAAAAATTGCGCTTACGCGTGTTTGCAATCCATTATTACGAAATTTATGTTAGAAAATGAAAATCTGACCACACGTTTTAAAGAACTTTTAATCTTCTGACCGCGCTGGACCTTTCAGCCCTTCTTTATAGTTGTACAGTTAAAGTTTTACATTCATAGTTTCCATTTTCATCTATATCTAACGATCATTTGTATGGCATCTATATGATATAGTAGTCCGATTTTCATAAAATTAAATACAATATTTTAGAATATAAAGACGCTATATCTCAATTTGATGATTTGGTTAAAATGTAAAGGAACATAGATATGGCATACGTTGTAAAAAAAAGTTGCGCAATACCCCAATAAACGTAAATGTTCCTCGAAATTCGGTAGCCATTATCAATAAGTCCCATGAATATTATCCTTTTTTAATAAAATGTTAAAATACTACGGCTTCGGGGATTTTTTTTTACCCTTGCAGTCACTTCCGACCATATAATGTATGTACATATATTCTTGATCAGCTTCAAGAGCCGAGTCAATCTAGCCATGTCCGTCTGCCCGTTTCTACGCAAACTAGTCTCTCAGTTTTGAAGCTATCTCAATAAAACTTTGCAGTTAGTCTTGCAGTATGTCGGAATAGGCCGGATCAGACGACCTAATTATATAGCTGTCGGAAAATTTGTAGAAAATGAATTCCATGTCTCAACCGATTTTTGTGAAATTTAAGATATAGTCAATTAATATTGTGTTTTAAATTTGTTTTAAATTTAATGAAAATCGGTCTACTATATGATATAGCTGCCATAGGAACAATGAAACCAAGAACACAATAATAAATTATAACTTTTTCAGTTTTTAACATATTTTCATAAAATTGGGGAATACACTCGTGTTCATAATTATACGACACCTATAAAGTTTTTGTTTCAGCGGTCTTAGGAGAATGGAAACACAAAGTAGATCAAAATAAAGTATGCCGAATAATAGCACAAGGAGTTGTGCACAAAATGCGCTATTCTTATCCTTGCTTGCATCACTCGTTTTCAAGTAACGGTAAAAAAAAGCACACACGCCCTGATTTAGGCTACCCTGAATTTGTTTCAAAATGATACGACACATTTCAAATATTGCGGCTAAAGAGGAAGGTTTAGGGTTTATTGGTTTTTTATAATTTTGTTAAATATTTTATTCATTTTTTAATAAAATGCCGCATGGTAGCTTTTTAAGCGAAGAATTGAAGGGAAAAATTAAGGCGTATAACGAGTCTAGCCTTAATGTTAGCCAAATATCCCGGCTGAAGGGTCGAACACGCTGTGTTATTACCAACTTTTTAAAAAATGTGGATGGGTACGGTGTCAGGCGTAGCTCTGGAAGAAAGCTGAAGCTATCTGATCGCGACAAACATCGAGTACTTAACAATGCAAGCAATTCTTTTTCATCGTGTGCATCACTTGCTGCGTGTTGCAGTCGTCCTGTGTCCCGTAGGACTATCTGACGAACATTACTAAGCTCCGAAAATATTGTAAGAGTAGTTTTGAAAAAAAAACTCCGATATTAAAACCGCAGCACAAAAGAGCACGACTTCAGTTTGCCGAAAACAATTTGGAAACAAACTGTGTCTCGGTATGGATTTTAACTTAATTTTGGTTATACAAGTTTTTATCAATATTTCACATTTAGATAATTTTTTCTAATGAGAAAAAATTTAATAAATTTGAGACGGTTGAAACCTCAAAAAAGAAATTTTAAGACAATGGTCTCTCTTGGACCGAAATATCTTAAAAATCTTAATTAATTCAAAGCTTAAATGAATTTTTGAAGTGGGAAAGTTACAAGGCGCATTTATAAACTATTAATATTTAATAAATATTATTTATTTATAAACAATTAAACCAATAAAATATTAACTGTAAACAAAAATATTGAAATGTGTCGTATCATTTTGAAACACTTGCAGCGTAGCCTAAATCAAGGCGCATGTCCTTTTTTACCTTTACTTGAAAACGAGTGATGCAAACAAGGATAAGAATAGCGCATTTTGTGCACAACTCTTTGTGCTATTATTCTGCATAATTTATTTTGATCTACTGTGTGTTTCCATTCTTCAACGACCGCTGAAACAAAAACTTTATAGGTGTCGTATAATTATGAACAGAAGTGTAGGCATTTAATAATATTCTAAAATTTTGGTTTTAATTTTATGAAAATCGGACTACTTTATCATGTAGCTGCTATACAAACGATCTTTAGATATAGGAAAAATGAAAAACTATGAATGTAAAACTATAACTGTACAACTGAAAATATAATATGTACAGGTGAATTTCACGAAAGTTAGCATTACACGATGTTTTTATCATACATATTTATAATTAATGCTGTATTTATTATTGATAAAATTGCAATCTGCAAGGGTATACAAACTTCGGCTACACTACACTAGAAAGGCATTTTTATCTTAAACCGAAAAAAAAATTGTTTTAACTAAGTATATGAATATAACTACAGTGCCTCTCAACTGAATATGCTTGAATTTTTTTTAGGTTTAAAACGTTGTATCTCTGTAATAATCACTCCGATTTAATTGAAATCAATTTTGTTGAAGAAACCTGTCTTTAGTGAAATAACAAAGTTTCTGTTCTGTTAGTTTTATGTTTATATTGTTTGAATTATTTTTTCAAAAATGAAAAAATAAATCTCAATTTTTTAGCGCACCTGAATAGGATTGACCAAAAAAACTATTACATTTTTTAGTGTTTAATATTAATGCCAAGGTACTGGGTAACTTAAGTAATAAAAGAGACTGCTTTAGCATTATTTAATATTTTGTAAACCCACCCGTGTTTTTAATTAATTCAAACATACGGCTTGGTAAAAGAGCATAATATTTTTCATTTCCAGTTAGCGAAGTTGTTGACAAGGCCTTTTTAATTGCTTGAACTACGCCCTAAAAGTCACTTAATTATCTTCCTTCTTCGTATACTCTCCTGGAAAAAAGTGACCAAATGTTCTCCATAATGTTAATGTCAGGGGAGTAAGGCGGCCACTCATGCTATTTAACATTTTGGTCTTTAATCCACGGCTTTACAATCCGACCTGTATGGATCGGAGCGTTGTCATATTGGTATGACCATACATCTCAGAAAACTGGGGAGAGGCATTTTCGAGCACACATTTTAGTACACATTTGCGTTCATCTTCGAGGTGACAAACTGGAGCTTACATGATCTATAGAAAGATATGGCCCTTCACACCATTACTCCACCTGCACAGGTTTGGAATTTGTAATTTATCTATCCGGTCCATCAAGGTTGAACTTCTTTTAGTCGGAAAAGACCACCGTTTTCCACTCCCTATTCCATGACATTTGTCTTGGGCAAATCGTAGGCGTGCTTCCTTACGAGCATCATTGAGGGTTGATTTTTGGTTATTTTTTTTTTCTTTAAGTGTTTGGCTCTTCAAATAATTCGTTTTACCGTGATCACACTTGCATTAAGGGGGTAGACCACCCTGACATTTTTTAAAAACCAAATTTTTTTTTACTTAATGTTGATGTCGATATTCTTACGCTCATTTTAAGACATCGAGCTTAAAAATATCTCATTACATGTGGATTCTACAGCCATTAGAAGTACTTAAGGAATACCTTAGAGTACTTTCTTTATCTTCTTTTGCGTTTTTCTCAAAAGTACGTTTTTTAAAACGGTGTATATGATTTCTCAAAAACCGCTTGACCGATTCTCTTCAAATTTTTTACACAGCTTCTCTATAACGCCCTTTATGGCATGACGTATGATATAATATGATATGATTTCTTATTTTAAAGCTATAAATTTTTAAAACAAAAATATTGTAAAAAAAAAATGTTTTTTTTTCAAAGTGCTCCCATTTGCTCAAACAATTTTTTCCAAAAACGGCTACGTCATGCTATAGCCATACTTATATAGTTTATAAAAAATTTTTGTTTTTGAATTTCGGATAAAAAATGTGGTGTGCAGCATGTACACCATCCGACCATTCCCTAAAAAAATTCGTTTTTTGACTGGCTATATCTCCGGCGTTCGTAAATTTTTTTTTCTTTCAATAAGTATTTTTATACCCTTGCAGGGTATTATAATTTCAGTCAGAAGTTTGCAACGCAGTGAAGGAGGCACCTCCGACTATATAAAGTATATATATTCTTGATCAGGACCAACAGCCGAGTCGATCTAGCCATGTCCGTCTGTCCGTCTGTCCGTCTGTCCTTCTGTCCGTCTGTCCGTCTGTCCGTTTCTACACGAACTAGTCTCTCAGTTTTGAAGCTATCTAAATGAAACTTTGTAGTTAGCCTTCTATATACTCTCACTCGTATATATGTCGGAACGGGCCGAATCGGACTACTATATCATATAGCTCCCATAGGAACGATCGAGAAATTGATAC